TCCTTCCACACAACCTTGTACTGTAGATGATCCTTCGCATTTGCTTCTCCTAACTTGCACATTACAAATATAGTTTATCGCTACATCAACAAAATCTAAAATTTGATTTCGTCTACAATATTACATCTCTGTTTGAGAAATGGGCTTTCCGTTTTGAAAACAACGGCCTTTCTTGATTTGTTAATAAATTATTGTTTTTCAAGCACGTTTTGAATGGTTTAATGGCGAAATGGAAAGCAATTTTGATCATTTTAACCAATTTAAATGTTTAACCAATTTTAATTTGGTCATTTGAAATTGGTTAAAATGACCAAAAAAAATTGGTCGTTTGAATGCGTCTGAGACAACCAGTTTAAATTGGTCTTTTTAACCAAATAATTAATTGGTCAAATTGACCATTTATTTATTGGTCAAAACAACCAATTATTTCCGGTTGTTTTGACCAATAAATAATTGGTCAATTTGACCAATTAAATAATTGGTCAATTTGACCAATTACTTTTTTGGTTAAAACGACCAATTTAGGACTAATTGATTTTGATACGCGACTGGCACTAGTTGTCAAATAAAAATCCATTTTATGATTGAAACAACTGAATATCTCCTGTAATATAGTTTATTTCGATTCCATATTTTTGTCAGAGCTATAGTTCTCATAACCAAACATAATTACAAAATTTCAACTAGTTTCATAAAGAATAACGAAAGATATATTCAAAATAACACGAATAACATGTGTCCACGAGAGTTTTCGCGAAGATTGCGCGTGACTTTCAAATGATTTGTTTTTATTTTGAACCCAAATGGTATACGGGATGGTTTTTCGTCCCAAATGGGACAAATTTTGTCAACTTTTCGATTGGGACTATTCTACAATGAAGTACTCTTGGATACTGTATCTAAATACATATGAGAATGGAGAAGTGGCATTTATAATGGCGGCAATTTACGAAATATCGAAGGACACAATATCGAAGATAAAATACACTGCACAGTTCCAAAACTTCATGAAACTTGGGTGAAATACTCTTTAGCCATTTATGATTAAGCAAAAGTATAACGACTGGATGATATTTGCGAGATTCGGCGATAAAAAGCAAACAAGACAGCAAAATATGGCTGAAATCGTGTTTTCGTGGGGGGTAAGTGAAATAAAATGTATTATATTAAAAGAAAACAATGACAATCCTTATGAAATCCACAATAATTATATTGAAATAAGCATAGTTTTTCATTCCATGATAATTTTTTTTAGGAAATAAGAAAATTTAATTTCTGCCAGGCATATTAGTTATTTTGTGCATAATCAGCATTTTACCTGGGGTGGTGCATGGTCATTTTCTGGTAAAATATTATACTTAGACAAATTTTTCCTTCCAATAACCACCCCTAAAAGCAACCCTTCTAAACACTACAGAAAGGTTTGCTTTTCCTTTTCGAAGTTAGAGCTATGTCGACACTGCCGTTTCAGGGCGGGTCATTTTCAGGCGGATTCAGGTTTTATATGAACTAACAAAATTACTATAAGTAATAATCTATTTACAGGTATATTATATATTTTCAATTATCAATCTAAGTAATAATTTTAATTAATCAATGTGAGTAGCGATTTTCTTTCGAAAGGAAGAAAAGGATTTGCTCCTCTAATTTCTTTAGGAATAGAATTCCAAAGGTTTCTCGTCATACATGAAACTGTTTTTCATAGATATTCCGGATGTTATTTTCTTGCAATATTCTCAGTGTTAGTTCTCCAAGATAAATGCTGGTCAATTGTCACTCCAAGAGTTTTGGTTTCATAAACTTGTTTAATTGACTTGTTTTCAATTTTCACATTGAGTTGCGAATTTGAAATACTTTTAATCATTTGCTTTGAACCAATTAACATAAACTCATTTAGCAACATTTAGACTAAGTTTATTGGCAATTAGCCATTTCCTAAGTTTTTCCAAATCAGAATTCACTGCAGTTTCAAGATCAGTAATAGAGTTTCCAGAAACTGTCAAGTTAGTGTCGTCAGCAAACAACCGAGGTTTTGTTTTTTCCAGGCATTTTCAATTTCTCTGATGAAAATGTATATTGTTTATATAATGGCCTTTCTTTTAAATCTGTCCCTTGTAATTATAAGTTGCTTTATAGCACTTGTAATCCAAGGAACTTTTTTTGTTCTAATCTTTTTATGTTGAAGTGGTGCATGGTTATCCAAGAAGGTTGTCATAGTTACTCGGGTAGCTTTATCAATCAATTGTGACAATTGATATAACTCATACAATGTTTTGATTTTCTTTGTTGGGTGAGCGGAAATACCAGATTTATTTCGAGTGTTGAACATGATATCTCACGAGTGAGCGCAGCGAACGAGTGAGATATCATGTTCAACACGAGAAATAAATCTGGTATTTCCAAGCACCCATGTATTTTTCTGTTTATTATATAAACAAAATCCAGTGAAAAACAATAAAACGTCCGTGGCAATGCGTTTTACACAAATGATATTTTCACAAATTTCACTTGTAATTTCATGTAAAATCTTTTCACATATATATGAAATTTCACTTGTAATTTGTAATTTCATGTGATATCCTCTCACATGTGAAATGTCACTTGTAGTTTGTAACGTTCATGTGAAATTATATTCTTTCACATGTAAATTTCACTTGTAATTTATAATTTCATGTGAACTGCTTTCACATGTGAAATTTCACTTGTAATTCCATATGAAAACTTTTCACATGTGAAATGTCACATGTGATTGATTTCATGTGAAATCCTTTCACATGTGAAATCGAACTACTAAGGTGACAAGGTCTGTCTACTCTGTGCAGACTGTTCTTGGCTAGGGGGTCGGTGGATAATACAAAGCAAAAGGTATGTTGTATACTTATGCTATATATCTTAATTGTTTTTTTACTAATTCTAGCTTAAAAATTACTTTTGAGCATTCGTTGGAATATATTTTTTGAATACAATTGCCAAACAGGAAAATTTGCTTTCAATGCATGCAGTTTATAGAAGGGAAATTGTGGTTTTTGTATTATTTTGCAGTTAATTTGTCTGTATGAAGTTGTATAAAACAATACCAAATTATACAGGGTGTATCAAAAAAAACTGAACAGATTTAAAATTGCTCTCAATTTCGCAAAACAGCTATTTGTAGCTGGTTTTTTATATATATAGCTTCTTTGGGTACTTACAATGTAAAATAATGAAAAAAATTTCTCGAACTTAAATTTTGTGAACCAGGGGTGTGTGTCTTTTCCAACAAACTAAAAATGGCTCGCGCACAAAATTTAAAAGCTGCAATCATATTTTGAGTTAACAGATGAAAAATTTGTCGGGATTTTAATTACTGTACAAAATTTCAGACAATTTTGTTTAGTTTAAGCCCCTTAACTATTCACGCAAAGTTACAATTTTCCCGAAAAATCAGCTATTTGCATGCTTAATTAATGCATTTGTCATGCGAAAGGCTGACTTTTAGAACAAAATGAATAGTTAAAGGGCTTAAACTAAACCAAATTGTCTGAAATTTTGTACAGTAATTAAAAACCCGACACATTTTCAATCTATTAACTCAAAATATGATTACAGCTTTTAAATTTTGTGCGCGAGCCATTTTTAGTTTGTTGGGAAGGACACACCCCCCTGGTTCACAAAATTTGAGTTCGAGAAATTTCTTTCATTATTTTACATTATAAGTACCCAAAGAAGCTATATATATAAAAAACCAGATACAATTAGGTGTTTTGCGAAATTGAGAACAATTTCAAATCTGTTCAGTTTTTTTTGATACACCCTGTATATATATTTTTCAAAAACTCATTAATAATTCATGAAGCAATTATCCAATCTTGAGTAAGAAATTAGTCACGTGCATACGTCTTTATACCAGCTAAAGAACACTTTAACAAAAGACCATTGTCATGCAAACTAGATAAAGATTTTTATATAAAGATTTTTATATAAAGATTTGATTTATTATGCATACGTTTTTGAAGCCATATAAAAAAACTCGCAGGTCGTGTTTTGTTAGGTCTAATAAAGCCACTCGCGCTGCGCGCTCGTGGCTTTAAACCTAATAAAACACTCCTGCTCGTTTTTTAAATAGTACATTGAACATTATCAGCTGAACTAATATTATCATACCTATTTTGGTTACCCAAAACTTCACGCAGTGAGGTTTCCAAATTTTTTCTAGTGATATTAGCTTCAGATAACTCCCTGGAAATAAATTTGAAGGAAAATTATAATTATTTCATAAGAAATGGTTTAATTAAACTTTTTTTCAAGCGTGTACGCACGTAAGAAAAACGTTTAAAAGCCCGTTTACACTTGCAATTGACCATTTGCGTAATAGACTAAATTTTAATCTCAACAAAAATTTCATCACAGCTTGAAAGAGCATCACAAAATTAGTAATATTCCAAAGTTTCGTTGCAAAATGTTGTAAAATGCGGAAAATATAGCCTTGCGAAGTTTGAAATTTTCAGTCATTTTAGATTACAAACCGGAAATTGACAGCCTCGAAGGGTTGGGGCTGTCAATTTCCCGTTTGTAATCTAAAATGACTGAAAATTGCAAATTTCGCAAGGCTATATTTTCCGCATTTTACAACATTTTGCAACGAAACTTCGGAATATTACTAATTTTGTGATGCTTCTTCAAGCTGTGATGAAATTTTTTTTTTTTAATTTTTTTATTAGCTTCGCCAACTAGGGCAGGGTCACTTGGCCACCGTAGCCCCGGTTAGTTCAAAATTTAGTCTATACGCTTCTGGTATAACTTCCTATTCTGTGACAGAAGTCCATCTCCTTTGTTTTTTGCGTAAGCTCTATTCGTCATGATTCGTCACTCAGCAAGTACCGTAAACAGAAGCAGTCTCCCAATTATTCATGATTTGGGCAGAAATCTAAAAATAAACAGAATACTCAATGACTTTGACTAAAAATAAACAGAATACTCAATGAAATGTGTCAAATTATATTGACTTTCCATATTACTATCCGCAAATAACATCACAAGGCGATAACACGTTAGAGTCAGGATTTTAATTTCCATATTACTATCCGCAAATAACATCACAAGGGTTAGAGTCAGGATTTTAATTTAAACACATGATTCCAGTTATAGACTAAATTTGAGAAGAAGAACTTGAGAAGAAGAACTTGAGAAGAAGAACTTGACAAGAAGAACTTGAGAAGAAGAACTTGACAAGAAGAACTTGAGAAGAAGAACTTGAGAAGAAGAACTTGACAAGAAGAACTTGAGAAGAAGAACTTGACAAGAAGAACTTGAGAAGAAGAACTTGAGAAGAAGAACTTGACAAGAAGAACTTGAGAAGAAGAACTTGAGAAGAAGAACTTGACAAGAAGAACTTGAGAAGAAGAACTTGACAAGAAGAACTTGAAAGAAGAACTTGAGAAGAAGAACTTGAAAGAAGAACTTGAGAAGAAGAACTTGAAAGAAGAACTTGAGAAGAAGAACTTGAGAAGAAGAACTTGAGAAGAAGAACTTGAGAAGAAGAACTTGAGAAGAAGAACTTGACAAGAAGAACTTGAGAAGAAGAACTTGACAAGAAGAACTTGAGAAGAAGAACTTGAGAAGAAGAACTTGAGAAGAAGAACTTGAGAAGAAGAACTTGAGAAGAGTAAAATCCGTCACCACAGCTAGAAAGAGCATGTTAAAATTAGTAAAATTGCAAAGTTTGGCCGCGAAATGTTGTAAAATGCGGAAAATATATAGCGCAAATTTTTTTTTTTTTTTTTTCGTAAAATGCAACACAAAATTCTGCTAAATGCAGGAAATCCAGTATATTACCACAGTCAAAACTTACTTTAATTCTTTCAAAATCCGTTCATGTTTTTTAATACCGTTCATGTTTTTAATAAAACAGAAATGATTACCGTTTGGCGGTCACGCGCAAACACTTTAGCTGCGAGGAAGGAGTAAACGTATTACATAGCTCCCAGAAGAATAAAATCACCATTTTTTCAAGTACAACGGTCTTTTTTATAGAGAGTTTTTGCACTAAACTCGGACGGATAAAAAAAAAAAAATAAAAAATAAAATTGGGGGGGGGACGCTAAACAAGTAATTTTTTTTATGTGGCCTTGTAAAGATAAAATAATCTACGCTAAGTATGTATAATTATGTAAGCGTATACAGTAATACTTGATGCCAAGGAAAGCAAGCTCATGAATAGAAATACAGTGATCATCACATATCTACCAAGCTGTACAGATTATACAACTAACATACACATAGAATTTCTGCCTGTGCGGTGTTGTTGACTGTGCCAGTCCTGTCAGGGGGAAATCTTTGAAAAATGTGTTCCAGATGATGCAAAATTAAGGTTATCTTTGTTAAACTTCATGTTAAATGTATTTTACTTGTATTGTACATATTGTGAGGAATATTTTACTTTCTCTCCAATGCTGGTGATATGGTATAATTAATTATCGGAAAGTTGCGCATTGACAGGGATACAATAGACCTTATGAATAATGACGTCACAAGGCTTGATGCCCGCAAGGAATGCTGGTCTTAGTTGTCATCGCCCAGGAAAATTAAACAATTCAAAATGACCACTATCGAAATTTTCCTGGGCGACGACTACTAAGACCAGCATTCCTCGGGGGCATCAAGCCTTGTGACGTATTATGTATTTATAAGGTCTATTAAGGCCCTGTCACACTATTGCGTATGAGAGAAACGTATGAGAAGCGTATGAAAATTAATGAAATAATTTTCATACGCACAAAAATCCTTTGAAATGCCAGCGTATGAGTACCGTACATCCGGCGTACCTCTAGCGTATTCAGCGTGTGCCTAGAGTATGCTTATCGTATAAAGCATACGTCCGAACACGCACAAAATTTTTGAGCATCAAACAAACAAACAAACAAACAAACAAACAAACAAACAAACAAACAAACAAACAAACAAACAAACAAACAAACAAACAAACAAACAAACAAACACGCAGAAAAGCAAAAGTAGTAAACAAGCTAAAAAACAAACTTGATAGCTCTTCTCGATGTCCTTTGTTGTTATCATTCCTAGGTAGTAGATCCGGGTACGAGAGAAATAAAACCAGGTCAGATAAGGGATTGCAACAGAACAACTTTGATCGCAGCTTGTAAACAACAAGGCTTTAGTGTTCATGATTTAGGAATATCACAAGATAAGTAAGTTAAAATTGTACACAAATACTGTGCACATATGTTGTTGTAAACTTCATAAAGATTGTTTCATTTGTGTAGCGTTGAAAGTTTAAAGAAGAGATTATTAGAAGGTCTTGACGTTGCTGATATGATCATTACATCTGGTGGAGTATCAATGGGAGAAAAGGTTTGGGAAGATTAAGATTAACATTTCTATATAGTGCAAATTTACATGTGGTTATGATTAAATGCACATTACATCAAGTATTACGCTCATCTAATTACATACTTGGCCTAGACTATTTTATCTTTACAACAAATGTGATATTACTTTCTTATAACTGTGTTGATCCTAACCCACCCTGTCAACTTTCGCTTTGGAAGGAAACCGGAGCACCCCGAGAAAACCCACGAATTTCGGCAGAGCGTTGACTGACTCTTTCCACATGAGTTCATAGCGAGAATCAAACCCATGATATCAGAGGTGAAAGACGCTCGCTGATGACTGCGCCATCGAAGCTCCTGATTATCATATATTAATCATCATCATTCAGAGAAATGAAAAACTGTTTCATATTTTCGTTTTTCCCTTTCCTTAGGACCTTCTCAAACCGATCTTACAAGATGAATTGAACGCAACAATTCATTTTGGGAGAGTTTTCATGAAACCTGGGTAAATACATTTTTATTGGTGGACATTTGTGTCTTGCTGCGTCTTATTTAACCATCTCATTTTGTTTAGAAAACCAACGACGTTTGCAACGTTGAAACATAATGAGAAGGACAAGTTGTTCTTTGCGTTGCCAGGCAACCCAGTATCTGCTCTCGTCACATTCTATCTCTTTGTTTTTCCTGCGCTGAGAAAAATGTCTGGATATCAGAATGCGAATTTACCGAAAATAAAAGCCAAGGTGAGGCCGCTTGGTGTTTATTTAGTGTGTGTAGAAATATTACTGTTCTGTGTTTCTGGTGTTATACTGATTCAGATGAAGATATATGTTTGTGATGTTGTCTCTGAGTGTCCACACGGGGCAAGCTGAAACGTTTGCTTCACCACGGTGGGAAGCTAATCATGACTAGCCTTGGATTGATACCCTCAACTGATTGAAACCTGTATGTATTTTCACTTACATCATATATCTTGTTCTACTCCCAGTTATCAACAGATGTCAAGCTGGATCCTCGACCTGAGTACCATCGCGTATTGTTGTCATGGAAACATGATCATCCAATCCCGCTGGCCACAAGTACTGGCAGTCAATGTAGCAGCCGATTGTTGAGCATGCGTACAGCCAATGCACTTCTAGTTTTACCACCAAAGACTGAAACACGAAGTATGTTAGCAAAAGACAGTATCGTTGATGCACTTGTCATTGGTAGCCTATAGAAAGAAATTTATGAAATTATAAATGAAAAGAATTATTTAGATTAAAATAAATTGAATATTTTGCAAACTATTGTTTTTGAATAGGGACGGTCAGTAGTTGGGGTACAGTAAAGTACTTTATCTACACATTGTGGTCCATTTCAAATGTATCGCCTAATGAGAACGAGAAAGCGCCAAGAAAACGCACAGGAGGAACAGGACTTTCGTCCTAATTAATACCTCACCCTAAAAGGAATTCATTTAGGTACCTATTTCAGCACTGATAGGTATTATTGCCTCGCCAAGGTCACACAACACAAGGTCAATACATATAGAGAACAATTTTGTCATTTTGATAATTATAACTGTCTTTTTTTGGAGTTGACCAGCATGTGCTGCACTGTCACACTTAGTGAAACCCACTCGAAGGAGGTCGCTTCACGCTATTGTTGTTGCTAGGTAACAGGCCTACGCCCATATAAGACCGAAAAAATAGTAGCCTGGAAACGATAACATTTTAGAAACTCGTTCCCAAGCCTCTAACACATCGAAAACATGGAGGTCAAAATTGATAAAAAAGAAATTCATAATATTCCTGCTGTTCCTACAGCCCCTCCACCGCCGACACTGCGAAATGAAATATCTTTGAGCCATGGTAAAAACCTTATGAAGTCTGCAGCTAGTTTAATTGGCAACGGAGATGATAAAATCATGAAAGAATGTGCTTTAAATGTATGTCAAAACTTTCTGCATCGCTATGAGACTGATGGTTGTAATTTATCATGGTTTTATCATAACAACGATGTTCAAGCGTTCCTTCAAGATGGACCAACGTATGTCATGTGGTGTATGAAATGCATATTAATATGTCAATATTTGTATCAATTATGGATTTATTGCTAAAGTTCTATATATTAAAATATTCCAAAATGACGTCACAAGAATCAGGATTGATTTGGGATTAGGATTACAAGGATTAGTTTGGGACTAAAAATCACTGCATTCACAGTGAAGTTTTTGATATGGAAATTGCCCCCAATTATCAAATTAATTCAATTATCTATTTTGCTAATTATATCAAACCCAGATCAGTGATCAAACCATTGGCAAATGTAAAAGGATGTTGACACCTCCCACTTTGGACCTCTATTTCAATATTATCTGTATATTTAGCTCAATCACATGGATTGTTAATGTCGGGGTGAAAAATTTGAAGCAAAGGCCCTTCATCACAAAGATAGTAATTATTTACCTTTTCCCAAGTAAAATGTCCCCACTCATTGTTTTAGTTGTGGATTAGTTGCTCTAAAACTTGCTGCAGATATTCTGAAAATCTCTCCATCAAAATCCACCAAAGAAATTGAAGACCTTGTAAAAGTTGCCCAAGAAAATGGCTTTACTTGTCATGGAGAAATGTTCTCT